TCCCTGCCCTTTACTTGTTAAACAATTTCCTCTCTCTGCACTACCCCATCGCTAAAGCTGTGGCTCTGGAATAATACAGAGGATTCTCCTGCAACTATGGTTGCAAAAATTTAATTCTAGGAATCTTTATGTGGCTTAGACATCGTTCATTGGACAGGAAGACTTGAAAGCTGTGAAAACAATTACAGGAGAGTTCCCTATCTCATCTTTTGTTTGGCTCAACCAAACAATGAACAAGATTAGTTGTATTTGGCCTTGAGGAAATACTAGATTCGTAAACCTAGATTTATGCTTAGTGGCCACTGAATATGGCACTGCCTTTTCAAGATTAGGCATAGGTTGCCTTGAGTTTACATTTTCGGAAAATAATTTATTTTCGTTCTGAACACAAGGATTTAACTTTATAAAGAAACTGAACATTCTGTAACATGAGGGAATGTGTAAGTTATTGAAGGCAGCGTGAGGTTATGTTGTGCAGGTCAAAGGAAGCAGCAGATGTATGTTGGTGCTGTATGCTTCTGGACTTGCCAACAGCCTAGTCTTGTGTTTTCAGGGTAGTATTTACGATTGTTCCATAAGACCATCTGTAGCATGGAAATAATGACTTTTTTTTTTTTTCAGTTTAGAGTGTTTGAATAAGTTGTTTTGTAAGGTTATGCTGTTAGTTCTGTCTCAGCACCTTTGCATTCAAGTCAGCAGTATAGGCGAGTTGTCACAGTTGTAGACAAGTGCCTATTCCAGTAGTAAAAAATAGAGATTACTAAATTGGAAACTCAGTCTCATCCTTCATTTCACTGAACTGTGAAAACAGAGATGGAGTTATTTGCAGACTTAGTTTGGTCTGTCAAAGAACTTCATAAATTCATGTTTGCTCTTGAGTGATCTGTTAACGTTTCATGGCAAAGCCCAGAACTGTGTGGGGCTTTGGTCAAGTCTGTTGGCAGGATGAGCATACAGCTGGCCGGCCATCCAGGGGTTACCTGGAAACCACGTTCACGTTTGCTGAACGGGAGGCAGTACTTTAGCTGTGCTTTTTTAACGAGAAGGCAAGGCTGGGCAGAAAGGTTCGTGCCAGCCTTTGGTTGTATCTCACAAGACACTGCCTGTGCTTGTGCACTGTATTGAAATCAGTGGGTGAGAGCTGTTTGACACCCTTTCTGCTCCCTGCGAAAGATTCAGGCTCCTGCTGCCAGTCCGCTTAACCACTAAGCCACCACATGCCCAGATATTCTGCCTGTAAAAGCCACATCAGAAAGCTGAACATCTCTATTACAGGATAATACGTTAAAGAATAGCAAATGATGACTCCCACTTTTTTTTCTTTTGGTGAGGAAATGGTGTGTCTTCTGCTTTCTTCAAGGAACACTTCCACTAACTTACTTGGCTTGTTTAAAAAGCAGTGTAAAGACTATACTCTTTCATTCTCTCCACTTTCTGACTTGGAAAAAAATATTGGAGAAATGGTTTGAAACACCTGAAAAAAACCCTCTGTTAACAAGCAAAGCTGCCTTACTATATGCATGTTTTATTTGCTCATACTGGTGTGTTAGGCATGCTTTGGTTCATTTCTTTACTACAGCTGCCTTTGTTTATTACTCCCCAGAACTACAGTGCCTTGATATTAATAGGGGAGTGAGGAGCAAAATAAGCTTTATGGAAATTAAAAGGCTGGTTTTGTGGTAAAAATGAGTAGATGAAGAGAAAAACGGAGAAATTTGGACAGAAAGCTAAGCAGAATGTTTTCCTTGAGGTGTTGGCTTCAGGGTTTTTTTGGTTTTGTCAGCCAATTCTATAAAAAAATATTTTCTTGTTCTAGATGAGTGAGGAGCTCCTGTTACCTGATGCCTCCACTACAGTATTTACGAGCATTTAATTTCTGTGGACTCTGTTAGGTGGTTATTAATATCCAGATTTATGTCCTTTAGATTGCATAACTTAATAGACTGGATAAAACTGTTCTGACATGAGCATGTATATAACAGATTGACTAGGTTTTCTGTCATTAATAGTGTTAGAATGCTAAATCTGCTCTGTAGTTTTTATCTGTACTTTACTAGATGGAGGGATCTGCATTTAGTGATGTGAAAATCATCACAAACTATAATGGACAGTTGGAAGTGGAGCTAGCTCCCTTGTCGCTGTCTTTGGATGCGATTACTAGATCATGCTGCCTGCCTTTACAGACTGGATAAAAGATGTTAAAAATACCCTGGTCGCATAAACAAAGCAGCTGAACTTGTGTAATGGTTCTAAAATTGATGTAATTGAGGTTCTATTCTTGTTTCAAACCGATCATTTAATATTTACAAGCATATGGGGGTTTTTTTTGTGCTGCAATGCAAAGTTCATACTGTTCTGCACCCAAAAATAATTCTGTAAGAATACTGACATGATCAAGCTGTGATTAAACTTTCCTTGTAACTCCAGCTTTCTTAATCCTTACAGATGAATTTTAATGATCTGGCAAGCTGTTAAGAAATTGAAAGATAGCGTTTGTGAACAGACCCAGATCTCGGTATTCTTGACAAACAGTTTATTTTGTTTGTGCTGGAAGAAGAATGGCTTTTCACCAGTCTCCTGCATTTAAACTTGGAAATGAGCAGACGTTGCTTATGTAGTCATGAAGGGCAGCCAAAATACAATGGATATGTTGCACTGTCACTTGGGAAAATAGGGGTTTTCAGTGGAGTACATGGTAAACTCTGGTTAGGCTAGTCACGGCAGTATTCTGAAAGATCTGTGTTAACTAAGCCTTATAGCAAATACTGTAAGAAACTTAAAATGCCTCTTTAAAAGGTGATCTTGGAGTCACTAGTGTCAGGAGTTACGATCTTGTAAGGCATTATTGTTTTCCAGCAGTGACAACAGGGAGTCAGTGAAAACAGATCTAAACAGTAAAACTCTTATGTGTTAAACCACAAAGCATTAAAGTCTTACCAGTACTGAAATCAGAAATAATGCTCCTGAAGATAATTAAAACATTGCTTAATTATTAAACAAAGTTCTTTCCAATGGAAATCTGGTTACAACCAGTGTCGGAAATTCTTTAACTGTTTTGTATCCTTTAATTGCTCAGGAACTCGGTACCTACATAGGAGTGAAGGTTTATATGCCAATGAAGATTTATGTTTTGCCTTAAAAAGTGTAGCAATTTGTGTGGGTTTTGGTGGGAAGGAGCAGGAAAGTTTCTGTAGGTTAGATTGATTTTTCTCTGCTGATCATCATACTTTAATATGCATAATCCAAAGGTTTACAGTAACCTGCAGTTTTGTGGTGTTCTTGTTTGAGTATAATGTGTTGCTTTGTAGCCAAACAAATCATTGGGAAACTGATCTTGCATATATACCGAGGAGTAAGCGTCTGTCATCTATGCACATAATTTTAATGGAACAAATATCTGTAACATCTTTCTCCATGGCTTTTTGTAAGGAATGATATTTTTTTATATCCTTCCATGGAAAGAGTATGAAATCCCTGTTGATGTAGAAATAAATAAGAGAGAATCCTGTAACACGAACAAGGAAAAGCTTAAAGAAGCTGTCATTTAAGGTAATTTTAAGATAGGGTGAACACAGGAAATGTCCTTTAGCTTTATGAATACAGTTCTTAACTGAGTCACATTTTTGTGGTTGATCTAGCCAGTATCTCAGACATTCAGTAGCAGTGTGTATGTCTACTGGATGAAGCAGCAGTTGTTTTGGACATCTTTGGTTTTGGACTTTTTCAACGCAGTGACATTGATGCTGTTCAGTTTAGTTATTGTTTGCAGTGTTATGGAAGCACGGAAACAGTGGACTGTTTATCAAAAATGAACGTTCCTTATAGTAATGAAACACGGAACTTCAGTGTAATTTGAGTGGTATGACTCAAACTAATGTTTTCTTTAAAACACATGGAGTAAAACTGAAGAGGTACTTTTTCTAATAATTTATTTGGGTTTTTTTTTAATGTTATGTCATAGGAATCTTAAAAGGAAAGTATCTGTTAGTCTTATCACCTGCTTTTACATGCCTAGAGCTGTCAGCACTTCTTTATCCTTGGCTGTTGACACCACTGTCTGAAGGATTTTAATGCGTTTTCTCTTTACTATCATCCCAGTGTTATTTATTGTGTACATGCTGTGAGCCTTTCTAAATATTTTGTTTCTCTTTTTTTGTGATAACACTTTTAGTTTTTGCCTACAATCCATATAGCACGAACATCTGTCTTCATGTGGCTGTAAAACCAGGAAGCTGTACATGTCTATCCCTCTGTTCCCTTGTGGTTCCCTCTCTATTGCATCTGTCATTTCTGGGTTTTGGGAAGGAACTGCTGTTTTGCTGCGTGTCTGCATAGTTGCTTGGCCTCGGGGTGCAGCAGCAAAATCATACCATTTTTCTAAAAGGAGGATACGTGGTGAGGAGTTAGAGAATAAAGTTTGATAAGCAATGTTAACCTCCAGCTGAAATTATTAAATTGTAGGATAATGTCATCACCTGCAAGGAGTACAATAGAAAGCATATTGCATGCAATGTGAACTGTGAGACACTGTCAAAGTTTAAAGTCAGTGGAATGACTTTAAATGAACTGCAGAGATCTGTGAAGTGTTCCCGGCAGCTGTCTTTAACTTTCTTACAGAACGGTTCATTTATGTTTGTATCAAAGTTTAGGTTTACTGAAGCAAAATGCTGTGTCGTAGTGATGGTGTACCTGTGTTGTTGTTCAATTACTATAAGAAGTAATTTAATTTGTTACCAGTACTTGTTGTAAACTAAGCAAAGATAATGTTTTCTGGCTATTTTTGTAGCTTATACTTCTAAATATTAATCTGTGCCTTGTTTGCTATTCTCATTATTGTTATGATGGCTTATTCAAAGAGTAAGGCTTTCTAAAGCATTGAAGTTTAAAATGTAAATTACCAGCTATGTAACAGCATGCAGCTTGGAGACTGAAGTGCTTTTTATCTTATTTCCTTGTCTGTAGGGAATGCATAGCAAATCATATCTTTTTAGATACATAGGTGTATATAATGGTCACAGATGAGAGATGGTGCCTGCATTTATGCAGATCTCATGTGTTTAATCTGAAATACCATCTTCGAGTTTCATCACTTGTAATTTCTTAGTTTATAGAGAGAAGCTGTTGGTGCTGTGTTTCTGAAAGCATTGACATTCACTGGTTATGTACTTCGCAGTTTTGATATTTACTGGAAGAAAAAACTATTTTAATTTTGGTAATGCTAATGATCACCCTCCTCTTTCTTAGAACGATCAGTCAACTGGAGATATAAAAGTCATTGGTGGAGATGACCTCTCAACCTTGACTGGAAAGGTATGGCTCTTTGTATGTTTGAAAACAAACAAACAAAACAACTGAAGAACCCACATACCTGCATGGTTTTAAGGCTGCTGTTTTAGTGTGCAAGGATTAGAGAGTTTAAAAGAAATGAAAACAGAAGCTTTTCGTTTAAATATTCACCACTGTGTACTAGGAGAGTGGCTAAGGCCCACCAAAGCTGTCAGTTCAGTCTGAACTTAACAAAAAAAACCCCAATTCATCATCTTCAGTATTGGTGAAGTTTTAGGAGATTTGTTTTTCTGCAGTGTCTGAGAAGAACAATCTTGTGTGGTTTCTTGTCTACAAACTATGTTTGAAAGACAGCAGCCTTATTTATTTGCTGTATTGGTCTTTCACTGAAGTAGTGATGGGAGTTCATACTGTCGAGATGGGTAATGTGCAGCCCAGGTTAGGAACGGAGGTTCCTGTTACAGGCAGTGACGAGAGAAGGAAATGGGAGAGTGTAAATTGGGAATCTGATTTTCTCCAGTGACTCTATGGAGGTTATTGAGGCAGATGACTGGGGTTAAAGCATCAGTGCCTCCTGCTCTGTCAGAACACATTATTTTCCACTTCTTACACTTAGGTGGTCTTTAAGGCATGTATGTCACAGTTCAATATAAAGGTAGGTACGACAGACTTTGTTCATGTCTCTGCAGTATGACACTCTTTGCTTTAGAAGAATACGAATTGTGTAGACTCTGTTTTGATCTCTTTTGCATACATCTAGAATTCTCAAAGTCTAAATAATTTAAAGACCACTTTGTAATCAGCATGAGATGTTGAGGAGAATCTCGTTGCCGGCTAATTGTTATTAGAGCATCAGAAATGTTAACTGCATAGAATTCACTGTTACATGTGTAAACATATGTAAATGGTGGTACAAATATTTAACTGCAACGAAAATTAATAACTTGCAGAGATTAATATATATAAGAAATGGCATAGTCTCCAGATATTAATAGTTTTTTCTCTTTTTTTTTTTTTTTTTGTTTACTTTCTTTTCCCACCAGAATGTTTTGATCGTAGAAGTAAGTATTATGTTTCACTTTGAAGTTCTAATGTGTGACTGGTAGAAGAGTTGTATTAGAAGTTGTTCTTAAGCCAGAAAACCTACAGTTTCTGGTTTCAAGGCTTCCAGCTTCTGATTCCAGGCCTGAATTTTGCAAGCGGGCTCTGAATTTGAAATTATCTCTGTTTTGAATTCTCAAATTGCATTCAGCTGCCAAATTTAACAAGGAGACTACCCATGTAAAATTGTTTGCATTTGCTTTCAGTTTTCTGGGATTCTGTCAATTCTAAAATGTCTTGATTTTATTTTCTTATTTTTTAATTTTTATTTTTAAAAAGTAGCCTGAACAAATTGATATTAAGCATATTATTGTTCTGGGTTTATAACAGCAAGCTAGGAAATTAAACTGCAGGGGTAGAAAGAGGTTCCTAGTAGGAATATCTTAAAATCTGTGAAAAACAGATCTAAGCCAAATGTCCCTGTGTGTGATTTGTTTATATGTTAGTGAGATAGAGAACACTAATTCTTAATGAGCATTTTACAGTTGTTAAATTCTCATTCCTCTGCCTTGTCATGGTTCTTTGGGTGATAGCAGGTACAGGACACCTCAGGTGGATTTCCTAGTAGGCACTGTTGCTTAATTCTTGCTTCATCTTTCTTGCTGGGCAGTGTTGCTTATGTTCAGTAAGTATTTCTTTCACAAGGGATGTTCTTGAGTAAGATTGCCAATTTCAGGATAGGGAAGCAGTAGCAGTAGATAGGAGAAATGGACTTGTGATCTAATGATGTCTTAAGGCTCCAAATAATGGAAATGGCGTGTTTGTCAGCAAAGAAACAGCTATGGCAACTGATTCAGCAGCCAAAGGGAAGGATGTTTCCTCTCATAAAATGTGTTTTTTATGTATGGGATTTTTTTTTTTATTTGAGAAGATTATATTATTCCACAGGAAGCACATTCTGTTCCAAAACTCCTACCAAAATAGTATGTATACAGCAGTCATCTGTGTGACCAGTGGTGTCCTTTGAAGTGTATTTTGCTTCAGATAGGCAGATGCGTTTAATTATGTGTCTGCTCCATTTCAGATGAATGTATTTTAAAGTCCCAGAATGCTAACTAGGTTAGTTTCTCATTTGTGCAGTGAATCATCTATCCAGTGACTTGTCTTATACGCTGTCAAATATGAACCCTTTTACTGATCGCAGTTTTAACTGTCAAACAATAAAAATGCACATTTATTGTAGGTTTAATATCTTGTGCACCAGAGCACTAGGCTTTTCTATACATCCCTTTTAATGTGCAAAAAAGTCTGAACAAAATGGAGATTCACCTCCAATAAACAGGTAATCACACAATACAAAACCAGTAATAGGTTCTAGTTTTATTTTAGGGTGTGGAAGTCGCTACTTTTGTTTATTCAGCAACTTTTATTTTAATCTAATTTTTATCAGTATGTCTTTAACTTTTCTTGAGTTTATAACCATGATTAAAAGCATTAAATGTTAAAGACAGTATTGCTGATGGGTGCTCTGAGTGTTTTGTTCAATTTTGATTTTAATTTGGAGTCACGGGAAAATAAGATGAAACCAGGACATTGCTGCTTCTGTGTTACCTACCTCCTTCACTTCAAATGGACTTGATTTCAGGCCAGGGTAAGGTCTGTCCCTCTAAAGATCGTGTGATTGTTTCAGTCCAAATAAGGAGTCCATTTCTGATGCTTCAGTTGTAAGCCATATATTCTTTTTTCTGATGTATGTGCAGTGGATGGGATTAAAATGGTGTGTTAAAATTAATTTTGGTGTGTTTGAGTATAGACTTTAGAACTGCACCCAGATATTCCCAGTGCAATTTCTTTGGCTATTTCTTGGATCTGTAACGTAAATTACACTACTTTTTTCTTTCATTGCAACAGTTGGTTGTTCTCCCTATTTTCCCTTCTTACTTTTCTTTTTGTCATATACATCTGTCTCTGTAACTGAGCTCAATGGCAAGGCTAATGTTACTCTTATCATATACGAATTAAACGTTGTTTGTCTAATAGCTGTAAGGAGCACAAGCCATAAAATCTCAAAAAGGAGTCAAGAGGGTCAGAGCTCAGTAACTGCTTTCAAAGTCGTAGTTATCCACAACAGTTAAGAACGGTTGTTGATGTGTGTGATCACTTTACTGAGCATAGTTGCATAAGCACGACGTGGTGTTACACGTCACCTGTATTTGATTATGAACAGTAGCTCGGCATATTTTCATGCTATTGCAGATGAGCAATTTCTGTGGTAGAAACTTGAAAACGCTACTCTGACATGTTTAATATTCTTTCTTACATGAGTTTTTTATTTTCAGGATATAATCGATACTGGTAAAACAATGAAAACGTTGCTGTCTCTACTTAAGCAATACAATCCAAAGATGGTGAAAGTAGCCAGGTAAATTTTTAATGACAATTATTTGTGCTCTATTTCACCTTAAGAATGGCCCACAGTGTAAAACAAACAAACAAAAAACAACAAAAAACCCGACCAAACAACCCCCCGCCCCCCAATTGTGTAGGATACAATTCCATGGAAGAGAAGCAGGAGGGAGTGTTTCTGCAGGAGTCGTGGGAGTCATATATGATGTGATCTGCTGGAGTTTAGTATTTGTTTAAACTTCAAAAGCACTTCTGCTTGTTACAAGAATGTATGTTCATTAATGGTTGTGGAAATACTGTTCTTTCCAATCTTATTGGAAAGATAAGAATTTCAGTGCTTCAGAAAGGGATGGCTTGTGCGTGCCTGGTACGTGTCTTGCCTTATCATATTATGGTAAGATTAGTAGGCTTTTACCACTGAAGTCCAAGTTAGGTTTAGCAGTATATGGAAGAGTTTAAATCTTTTGGGCTTAAAAAAAGGTACCTTCTCAAGCCGGTAGATGTATTTTCAACACAAATGTAGTTCATAAATAAGACTTACTAGAGAAGTAGAGAAGGGGATAAAAAAAATCATTACTTGTCACTTAGGCACTTAGGTATATGTAGTATCTATCCAAACATATTTGTTTCTGCTTACACTATCTGCCACTTCAGTATATTGCAGTGGTGTACCTGTGCAATGGACACCTTTTCTTAGTTTCCCTTCTTTAATTGTAGAGTTAAATTAGTTTGCACACTAACAGTGTTGGTTGTGTAGTGTGCATAGTGCGGCTGAGCTTTAGAGGTCATTCTGTGAGAGTTACCCAGCCATATGCTCTTCCAGGCTTTTCTACTTAGTTACATCTTTAATCAATTAGTTTCAAAACATTTGATAATTAACAAGGAATGTTGAGGATAATACTATATTATTAACTGATATTGACCTTCTTCCTACTTCTTTTTGAATTGCATCTTTTGCGCTTCTGCTGTGGTTGTGTATTTTGCAATAAAAGCATAATGATTGTTGGGGATTAGAGAGAAAGCAGAGCTGTGTGTAATATCTAATCACTTGTGTTGCCATAACAATGTCAAAGCAGTTGTTAGACATACGAGAACAGCTCTTCTTGCTGATAATCTGGAGGTGGCTTGCTGAAGGTGAGGTTGAGGATTTCTCCCTGGCCAAATTAAGTGTGCCAAATTTTAAGTATTTTTTGCTGAATAGGGCCCTAACACTGCAGTGTACATCGTGAATATAATATAGTATGAGTAAAGTCCAATTTCCTATTGTTTAAACCTGTTGCAGTAATTTAGGTCTGCCAAAGACCCAAGCAGGTAAATGTGATCATTCTAGATAGTCTTAAGTGTAATGTTCTGTAATGTTCTTAGTTACTTCACTTGCCTCTCTTTCTTATCGTCTCTTCTTTTTTTCTGTTTTATTTTTTTATTTTCTTTCTCTCTGACAATTAAGCAGCTGTAGCAGGGAGATGTGAATTAATGCTAATGTGATTTTGGGGTTTCTTTTGTCAAATCCTACACCAATTCTCAAAAACTAAGTCTCACAACTAGAAGTTTCAGAAGCTGTCTAAAATTGAGACTGTGACTGACAAATACAGCCCTACCTTCAGGCGTGGTCCAGGAGGGCAGGAGGTCTGTGCTTAATGTATAGAGTTAAGCTGACTTCCACCTTTACATTCAGCCATCAACCACCTTTTCTTTTTTTTTTTTCTTCCAAAGTCTCTGTGTCTCAGACAGACAAATGCCAGGCCTGTGGGGTTGGGTTCTAAGAGGTAGAAGTGCTCCACTGAATAATAAGTGAATGAAATTAAACTAGCAGGGCATTTCTTTCTACTACAATACCTCCAACTCTATATCTCCATGCTTTTTATGCCTCTGACTATTAATTCTGGAAAAGTGGAGCTGGTTTCTGTCATCTGATCATCAGAACCCGTTACATTTTCTTTATGTTCATTAGTCATTAGTACTGCCAGTGAAAAACGGTTGAGGATGTGTTGCACAAGTGCAATTGCAGTTGCATTTAAGCAGCTGAACTTTTGCTTCATAATACTAATGCTTTTGCAAAAAGCTCAGTTGGTCTGGCCAGATCCCAAGTTGTCATGTCTTTACCTGTAAGCTAAATTGTGCTTGAAGTTCCTAACACACATAAACACATAAAACCCCATTAAGTCACTTTTCACTGATCCATCCAGATCAGTATCTCCTAGCCTCTTTCTCGTAGACCTGTTCATTATACTTTAGGCTGGGAACGATTTGTGATTCTAGGAAGTTTTGGTTTTGTCGGTATGATCAACTGCAACTGCACCTACAAATAAAAGAATAGTTTAAAATATGTGTAGTTATGCTTTCAGTTATGCACGTTTAGGCCAAATTCAGCTTGTCTGTCATCAAAGCAGTCTCATATATTTGTACCCAGTGCTTTTCCATGTTTCAGTTTTACATTGGTTTTATTTGACAGTTTGTTGGTAAAAAGAACGCCTCGAAGTGTGGGATATCGGCCAGACTGTAAGTGACTTTTTGACAACTGTTACTAATTTTTAAAAGTGTGTCACTGTGTTGTGTACCCTTTGGTCAATGTCCAAGGCGGTTCCAAATAAGTTTTCACTAATGATTCCTGATAGATTTTGCTCTTATTTAGGGCATTTAAATATTTGGGATGCATTTTGGCAGAGGTAATCTGGATTTGGTCTGATCCTTTTTTTTTCTTAACTTTGTAACATTTTGCTATATGAAAAGCAAACTTTGATATTTTGGTCCAGGTTACGCCTATGGAAATTCTCCCAGCTTGCATGTAGTCAAATGCTTTGGTCAGCAGAATCTGCTGGATTCACCTTTGACATTTTTGGGAGTGATTGGGGTACCCAAACCTAGCCACCTCATACCATTTGGATGTCCCTAGGAATGTAGGAGGACCACACGGGGTAGCAGGACAACATGGGGTAGCAGGTCTGATAAAAGCTTACAGTGATAAGAATCCTGAATTGACACAAAACCGGTTATGTCTCAACATCTCAGTTATTCTTCTTGTCTTCTCCTCTCTGTCCCAAGACCATAAAGAAAGGAGTAGCATCCACAGCAGGCAGTGGTACCGGAGTGGCAGCTCCTCCTGCCTTGGAAGGGCTATGTGTTTCAGCCCTGTTCCAGAGGCTAAATTCGTGTTAATCTAGACCACGTACTTTCACTGTGGCAGTGGAGTGAATTTAGCAGCAGAATCACATCCTCTTCCTCCTTTCCAAGGTTGTACTGTATTCTGGAACTGAAGTTTTTTCAGTGCCTTAAAGCTTAATTGAGGTGTTCCCTGCAGTCCAGGATGCCCCTCATTCCTGAGATCTTATTAGAGGCTTAGCTGGGTTAATGGTCTGCCTTTTGAGCATCTTGCAGGAGGTGACATGTTTTGCCATCTGTCCACAGAGGCAACCTGTTCAGTGCAGGACATGTGAGCTCTGAAAGAAGAGACAACAAGGCAGTAATGGCTGGGCCTCCATTTTATCCCTGTGTTGTGAGGCCAAGTAGACGTGAAACATCACCTTGATTTTTCCAAAAGTGCACACCCCCTTTCCTTTGGATTGTACAATTTATGTCCCTGTTTTCCTTACAGACCCTCACTGTAGCCAGGGAGAGAAAAACTGTGCAGCTTTCCTGTGCTCAGGAGTCTTTCGTTTTAGCATGAGGGGAGAAAGACATTTGGAAATTTTGTTATTTTGTATAATTGAATATTATTTGGCCATTTTATAGTGTGTGGGGACAGGTTGGACTGATGCTGCCTGACCATCCATGAACTGTCCTGCTAGAGCTGTTTATAGACAATTTGTGGAATAGCTGATGTCCTCTTTTTAGGCAGCTTCTCTGGGAGGAAGAAAAACAACCAAACACACACCAAAAAAATCCCACTGGTTTCTGAAACCTTCAAGTGACTCCATAAAGATCAGAGCTGCTCCTTGCTCTTCACTAGTCTCTCTGCCATGGAATAGCACCTAAGACGTGCTTCAGCAGTCGTAATGTATTCCTACATATTGGGTCATTGCCTGCAAGTCACAAGAAAGGAGTCCCATCTAGGCAGTTACTCAGAGGTGAAGGACTGGTTTCCCTGCAATAACTGTGGTTCTGATATTCACATTATTCTGTGCTCACTCTCCCAGCCCTTCACAGAAAGTCCCATTGGACTTGCAGATCCATAGTTTTGAAGGAGCTGATGACCGAACCTGCCTACTCATTGTGCCTTTGCATTATGCAAAACAGTAAGGCAGAATATGAGTACAAGAAGGGTAGGGTGTTCGAAGTGTGACAGAAAAGAGGAAGGGAAATTCAAATTATGGGATATGGAAACCAGAATGTTGGGTCCAGACGTCAACTCCAGTCAGTGGCAAAAACTAATCTGGAAAACTCAGCACTCTGGGTAGCTATAGGCAGAGGCCCCTTTCTGACAGTCTTCACATCCTCCTTATCTGCTACAAGAAAGAATCAGCTGCCTGTGCTAAAGTTCTGTCTTGTCAAACACAAACCAGAAGGTGCTGTATGTAAATGGTGGTGTCATTGGTGGCATGAAAAGCTGCCCTTCCTGCAGCCCTACCCGAGGCGCAGGTCCAGCTGCCAGAGGTGCTGCCTTTTGAATGATACTGTGAGGGTGACTTGTGCTGTGCTCACCAGTTCCACTGCTTCTCCCCTTGCTCTCAAGCATCTAGGAAGTGCTGGGAAGTATTGGCTCTTTTTGTTTGTATTCACAAAGCTGCAGGAAATGTTCAAGGAATTTTACATTCTGATAGTAATAACCTGTCTGTAGATTGCAGTCTGTTCATTTCTTACAGACTGCATGCTAGCATCATGCTGCTGCATGAGAACCAATAAATACATCTCTTTAATTTTGCTTTAGTTGATAAATTAAATCAACAAAGTAAGTTAAAATTTTAAAATAGCTTAAGTATTAATCTGAGGGTACTTGAGTGGGTGAAATAAAATGAGTTAGGATGCTTACATATCTGTAAAATTCCAGATTGCCTCTGTAAAAACATCTAGTGAACTCTAGGAAGTTCTTTTCTAACGTGCTGGTGACTTACGGTCTTTTTCAGTTGTTGGATTTGAAGTGCCAGACAAATTTGTTGTGGGATACGCCCTAGATTACAATGAATACTTTAGAGATTTGAACGTAAGTAATTTTTCCCGTATGTTTTTGTCCGTTTAAAACTAGGGAGGAGGAAGGAAGGGAAGTCTCCTCACATCACTGTCACTTCTCTGTAAATCGTGGCAAAGCTGTTCCATTGGTGATGCAACAATGGGAGCAAACCCTAGAGCAGCAGGACAGCGTTTTGGAGCTCTTACGAAACCAAAATTTATTTTGCTGCCTGCAGGATGGAGGCTACGCATCTCCTGTCAACTTTGGAATAATGTGACGTTTGTGTGAAGTTTTGTACCTTACCAGGTGCCTACAACAGAGAAGTGCATTTGCTTAGTTATGGAAGAGTTAGAGAAGAGGGACCTTGGAAGTTAAGAGGGGTTCGCTTGTTATTCTAAGTCATTAATTCTTCCTCTGGGTCTCACCAGACCCCACAGACATTGGGTGGGACAGTTAGGGGGAGGAGAGAGAAGGCAACGTTGAGAATGTTAGACAAAAAAAGGCTTAAGTTGCTCTGCATAAACAGTATCACAAGGTTCTTTCGTACTGAAACGTGTACGGCATGCTTTTCCTTTCTTCAGAAGCACGTTACTGAATACGGGTGTAAAACACTGGTCTCTTACATTACTTTTCTAACAGGAGCTTTTAATTTTATTTTGTTTCAGCATATCTGTGTGATCAGCGAGACGGGGAAGCAGAAGTACAAAGCATGAAAGCATGGTTCGAGTGCTACGACACAGAGCTTTGAAATGTTTTGTTTACTGAGTCCTATCTTTCACAGGCTTCAACTCTGGTACACCAGCTGAAATTGTAGAATGCCCCAGCCCCGTTGTCCTATGCTTACTATAATTTATTGCATGTACAATGTCAGAGCTCGTCTTGTTCATTTATATTTTAGAAATGTAAGCAACTAGTGCAGTTCTGCACTCCTTATTTTGATTTGCACTATGACTCTACCGACTATTGCTGCCCCTGGTTGGGTTGTGCTGTTTGTGAGCTCCAGAGTCTAACTCTTGCAGTGGTAAATTGCTTAAACCTCATCAACCCAGAACTGAAATAGTTCAAGTACTGTAAATGTAAAACATTTTATGATAGGGAAGTCTATTAGTAATATTTTTAAAATCTGTAATTTAAGTTTTATATTTTAATGCACAAATGTGGTTGTGATTAATGGATAGTTACACCTTTGGGTGTTATAAAGCATGAGGAGCAGCCAGTTACAGTATCTGTAATCTCCAAGGAGCTCGTTCAGATCTCCTGGAGTTGCCTTATTGCTGTAAAGGAAGTCTGGGTGAAAAATGTTGTCTTTTTTTTCTTTTTTTTTTTTTTTTTATTGAAAGGAGGTGGAATGACAAAACAGAATGTTTAAAATCTAGTTTTAGTTGAGCTGCCTGTTTCTGTTAGATTTTTTTTTTCTCTAAAAATATCCATCAGTCAGTGGAATTGCCTTTAAATTCAAAACAGTTTTAATATATTTGTGGAAAAGTATGGTAATGTTTACTTTATAAGATCTCAAAACAAAGTACTTTAAATAAAGGCTGTCTCTTTAAAATAAGCCACATACATCTATGCCACTCATTCTGTATATTAAAGTGCTCTTGAAATTTTCTTCTCAGTCATATTTTTCTTAAGTGTTTCTGACAGCGAAGGCAGGCTACGTTTGTTATCTTTGTAGCGCTTTTGGTTAACATGATCCTGTCTATGAGAGAGATGATAAGGTGCTGAGGGAGAATATAGAGACACTTGCATATTCTATAACCACACGAGATTTCAGAGAAAATTAAGCGCTGCGCTTTGTTCTGTTTTGGCAAAAACGAAGAGGGAAGGTTGTATGTTCGTTAAACATAATCGTGGGGGAAAAAACCCACAACTAGTTTGTAAGTAATCATTTGGGTTTGTTTCATTAACACCTCTTTGTGTGGGCTTTAATTCCAAGCACGGTAGCCCATCTCCCACCCTGTCCTTGTGCTGGCCTTTTTGGTCCCTTACCTTACCCAGTCCTTCTGCATGTGGATTCTTCCTCTGTGTGCTCGGATAGAACGCTGCTCAGTGCTTCGTACATAATGAAGCTTTTGCCAGCCTGTTTTGAAAGATTTTTCTGTGGTTTTGAAGTTTGAGTCATGGTTCTGTACTTTTCCAAGGACTGCGCATTGTTGTCTGTCCCTGGCGTGCTCAGTTACAACTGTAGTAGTTGGTAGCAGACCTAAAATATGAACAACACACACAACGTCATGTGGATCAAATGACCACAACGTGCAGGAGGTCTGTTCGTAAATCAGAATTCTCATTAACAACTGTTCGGACCCTGGTCCTGAGTATACTGTGCTTTTGCAACGTTCTAGCTAATGTTCCAAAGAGCTTTTTTCCTAAATGCCCTGCAGAGACCGCTGTGTTTCTCCATGTCCTGGGTATTGTTGGTATACAGGCCTTTTCAAGAACCTGTACTGACCCTGGCATGACTTGTTGCAAAAATATGTGGTGCATCTCCAAGAAGAGGAAACTTAAAGGCAACATGGAAAAAACAGAACCCCACTCAAGAATTATTACATCCGCTCAAGTTTTCATTAGTTCTGGTTGAACTTACGGTCTAATCTTAAAAAGGACTGTTCTCTTCAACCTTCTTAACAGTTCCTCCTTCACAATGTGTTTTAAAATAGCCATGGCAGCTAGAGAGTACACTAGAGAGGTGGCTTAAGAGTGTCTATTTACACATGAAAATGCCAAGAATTGATGCTGTTCAGTATCTTTTAGGACTAAACCCTTAAATTAATCTATCCTGAAATGTCTTGTTGTCTTGGTTAAGGTGGTCCTTCACTTACTGGGTTTTGGGAAAGGGAGGAGAGGCTGACGTAACAAGGGCTTATGACTCTTAGGCATGACCAGGGGTTTATCTTCCAAACAGTAGCTGGAGTGAGGAAATCACTGGTCTGTTGGGGAACAAACTGCACGGACACATGCACGTGGTGTAGTCACAGAAGAGGTTTGGGAAGATACTCCTGAGCGACAGTGACCCCGAGAGTGATGCTGCAGGAGCCCAGGTCTGCCTTCTAACTGGCCTCGCCTGTGGCGGAGGGGAAAGGTTGATATTAAAAAAAAAAATCTTACCGAATATTCTCACATTTCAAATGCTGGGGAACAGGCACTTTTTTTTTTTTTTTCCCCACTTTTTTTCACGCAGGCACTTGTCAGGTGGAGTTTATCACCCCAGAGGGATTCCTAGCTCAAAGACTTTTGTTACTCCTAATGGAAATTGTTCAGAGGAAAAGTTCCTTGGTCTCTCGCCCTTGCTAGAACAGTTCTAACATACTGCAGCCTTTTACAGCACCTGGGCGTGCACTACAGGAAGATAAATTCTCACTTGAAAAAAGTTGGAAATGCAATTGTTACTTTTTATTCAGTGATTTTGGTTAAAAGACTGGGGGTTTAGTCACACCTTCACAAGTTAAATGCCAGCTTCATGTAACGCAGACATACATTATTAAAGAATTATGAAAACAGAGAAAATCTTGTATTTCAACATTTATGTGGCATTTGAAATTCATTATAGTTCCACATTTTATGAATCACAAATGTGTGCTGGAAAAATCATTTTGCATATTTATAGGCTTTACTATGCTGTCTCACCCTGTGACATCTGGCATTTCTGTATGTTTTGATAATTCTTGCCTGCCGCAGACCACTGATGCTGCCTGACTTTGTACCGCAGATGTGGAGCTCTGCTTTGGAGTGTTTACTCGTCTTGCTTTAAACGCACATCTAGACAGAGCTGGGAGATGTGAAGAGTCTCTCTGCGAACTGAGCTGGCAGGTCCCTTCGGGGACTGAATCCTGGTTTTGAAAATTAAGGCAAATGAGGATCTTTAAGTTGCCTTGTAGTTGTATGTGCTGACTGTTTGTGGTGGTGTTTCGTTGTCTATTGGCGCTCTGAAAATCCTGTCAAGCGTGCACTAATCCAGCAGTGAGGATCTGAAGCTGCTCACAGGGAGCTGGTTACTCACGAGTCATTAAAGGACTTTCTGCCATGTCTGACTGCCTTTAATTCCCATTCAGGTCGCACCTTGCAAGATCAGATCTCAACCGTATACAAGAACCTTTATAAGCAAATGAAACCATGGGTGTGGTTTTGGGGGTTTTTTTGGTAGTGTTTAAGGACTTAAAATGTATTTAATTTCACAAGCAGATGTAATTTGATGACTATTCTGATGGGAAAATTGCTTCCTAGCTCTGTAAAGATGCCAGTAGCCAGTAAGGTCATAGTCATCACAGACACAAAGGTGAAGAGGGTAGGCCTAGAAAAGCACAAACCTTCAGCACGGTGTAAGAACTGGCAGTGAGGATTTTCATCCCTAGGGAAGCCGAGAAAGGGATCATGCTAGCAACTGCCAGGACATGAAAGGCTGGGGGTGTGTTGCGGATACCTCTGGCTGCAAACATACTTCTGTGTACAGGCTTTCCACCAGGCTCTTCTGCTCCGGTAAAACACCAACTGGTGAATTGAAACATCTCAGAAGGTGGAAAGCCTTACAGAACTAGACAGGAGAGGCAGGCCTGTGATGGTGGGTAAATCAAGCTGCAGGTAGACGAACCTCTTCCAGTAAGAGGCTGGTATTTATCTTACAAGTGATTGTTGCTGCATCTTTATTTTTTTCCCCCACTGTAACCAGAAAGGGAACCAACCATCTTGTGTCTTCTGCATGTCTCCAGGTTGCCTGTAGCAAATCGCTGTGTAAGCTACAACTTTGGGCATTAGGTATGGGGGTTTACTCCCCTCGCAGTCTGTGCCCTCCTACAAGTAGTGATTCACCACCCGTGTCCTTCACAAATGTAGCGAGGAAGATGCCACAATCAATAGCGTCTGTGTCTATAAATAAGGAACCAGCTATTAAGGAAGGAAACATTTCCAACTCCCAGCTCTGTTAGGCAGGCTTTGTACAGCTCCTCCATGCCCAATTTACAATCCTGAAATCTCAGGAGCACCAGTGGGAATGCTGCAGGATTGCTTTTGGACGATACTTAGACAAAACTTAGTTCTCCCACAATATTTTGCTATGCACAGCAGCAAGGTAACCCTTCTTATTTCACCTGTTCCAACCCTGCCACTGAAAGCACCACGTCTCCCCATTGATTGCGCATGGGAGAGTGTGCTGATGTCCTGTACATTGTGGGGCAGCTGCAGATGCTGGTGTGGGGTTGGGTTTGCCCTTCAAGCCCCAGCATCCACCAGGAAAGCTGCCCTCTGCCGCAATGTCCCGCTGCAAGCACGGCCGGCGTGCAGCCTGCGAAGGAGCTACGGTAGGGTTTGTCAAAAGCTCTTGGTGTTGGCTCAGCTCGCCTTCAGTTCCCAGAGGGATAAAATCCTTTTCCCTGGGAACAGACTTTCTGGGTGTTGATGGGACATGCTGTCTTCCCTGCGCTTTCTACTGGGTAAGCTGTGGAGCCTGGGAAGCACTGGAGCAGCAATGCCGATGCTTCACCTGCCTGTTTCACATATCTGAGGAGCTGGGACATGATAAAAGTCAGCCCTAAGGCAGGGAGGAGGAGGGTATGGGGGGTGTGTGTGTGTGTGTGTGTGTGTGCGCGCGCGTGCACACACACGCACTTTTAAATGTGCATTGCAGTGCCTTTATCAACTCTTTTCTCCTCAATTTCCTTTCCTGACATTTTTTCTCTTCCATTTACAAAATGCAAAGTACCTAATAGCAATCAGAGAATACAAAATATGAGCTAGAAATATCCTTTGCGGTGTAAACTCCTTATGCTTGCAATTAGAAAACCATCTTGTGCTTTCTAGTAAAGACTAACCATAACCCCCCCCTCTTGTCTAGCTGCATTTTCCTCACCAACTAGTCCCCCTCCCATCAGACCTTGCCTAGCAGTTGTGCACATGCGAATCATTCCTTTTCAGTATGAGGGGAAAGCTATTTTCTCTCTCAGAGCACATGGCATGATAACTCACTCTGGACAGTTTATAAATGAGTATATACTCTACTTGAATCATATTTTGAGTAACCTTCACTATTCTGTTAATGGAAGAGCACACAAGAACAGGTTCACGTGAGAAATTGCTGAGAGCAATGTCTCACTTTTTGCTTCAGAAATGAAAAGACCTGAACTTGTATTTTTCTTCCATTTGGCGAATTTGTTGCCAAGAACCACTGAGTCATCACGGCGCCAGCACCTTCGTTTGCTCTGGTCATTGCACTATCGCTTTAGCAAACCCTTACTGGTAAAGTGGGTGCGCTGCTTCTGCTTTGCCATGTGGCTGCTACCTGCCACGTTTAATTCCACCCAAGGACATTTTGTCTTCTGTGTAGCTTCACATTGGATGTGCTGGCAGCTTCCCGCTGAAGCTAACTGCACGAGTGGGTACACACTTAGAGTCACCTTACTGAGCCAGAATTATCCTTGCTAAGAGAGAGCAGGACATACAAAGCGTTGTTTGGGTTTTTTTTTCCCCTCTGTAACGCAAAGGGCGAGACCTGAACTTACCAACACCCAGGACTGGGAGTTGCCATTGTGCAAGGCACTGCACAAATACCTACAAAAGCCAGTCCTG